CCCCAAAACCCCAAAACCCCAAAACCCCAAAACCCCAAAACCCCATGGTTTAGAGAATCTTGAGTGATAGAGAAAATAATCTTTAGATAATATATTAGAGCGGGTATATAAATTTGAAAAGGTAGGTAGTATCTTTTTATTTAAAATAACCTAAATATAAGCAAGAGTTAAGGAAAGATTTAACTCAAGTAAAAAGCAGCAAGACTTGCTTTTCTCTTCCTTGACTTGATCATTGGTCGAGAAGCTTGTCTTGAATGGTGTGGTTTTGGTTCTTTCTTGAAACATAGAACTTGTGAGTTTGCTCGAAGAAAACTTGACCAAAAGCAACCATGATGAGGAACATGAATACGTGGGATAGAGCGAAGAGTGAGATAAGAGCGGGTCCTGGGCAGAGACCAGTAATTCCCCAACCGAGTCCGAAGATAACAGCTCCTCCAACGAGTCTCCAGTCTGGGTTAGCAGTGGCGTCAGGAAGGTCAAAGTTATCATTGTTAACTGGAGCTCCTCTTGATAGAACAAGTCTAAATCCAATTGCATTGAAAAGGACGGCTGATAGAAGAACAAAAAGAAGAGTTGGATCCCAGGTTGATCTCCAAATCAAAAATCCTATAACTTTACTTTGTCTGCACATGCCGCTCAAAACAAGTCCAAGTCCAAAGAGGTTTCCGAAGAAATAGCTTTGGAAGACTTCAGTAAGAGCAGTTCTAAAGTTTGGCTTAGTTACTGCGAGAGCAACAACTGCAAGTTAATCAATAATGAAAAGTACAAGACCAACCCAGTAAAGAGCATTGAGGAAACCCTAGCTCCAAGCAGCACCATTATAGAAGAAGGGGTTGTATGATCTGAAAGTAGCAATAATAACTGCTGTCAAGAGGAAGACTACAGTAGCAGTGATAGATCTGAATGAGAGTCTTGGGAGTCCACAGACACCATGTCCGCTAGTACAACCATTAGCCATCTTGGTACCAAATCCAACCAAGAATCCACCGATGGTAAATCCCCAGTTATCAACGAGGGCAACACTCAATACTTCTGGATCGAATAGATATTGAACGTAGTTGTTAGAGTAAATGATATAATACCCGAAGATAAATCTCATGAGAACTGGAAGGAAGATGAGACCAGCGAGAAAACTAAACTTTCTTTAGAATTCTTGGCTAGTATCACCCTTAACAACAGTGTTAAAGTAACCACTGAGGCCAGTAACTTTACCGTAGTATCTCAAGTTAAGTGTGGTTGAGAGTGAGATGAGGAAGCCTCCAAAGACTGCCCATCCTACTTCAGCTGAGTTCCAGTAGACCATATCTTCTGACAAATTTAAATATTATGAGGTGATCAATGATTTACTTTGATAATCTAAAGTGATAGATGATGTAATATCTTATTAATTCCTGGCATTATCAAATTTATCTCATATAAAATATCTAGAATGAACAAAATTCTTAATTCCCTAATACTAAGCCCTTGTTGATGATCGGGGTTTTGGGGTTTTGGGGTTTTGGGG